TAATATTCTAAAAATGTATAATTTAATGCACAGTAAAATATGATTTCCATCTCATATAGATTGTACTCATAACAAACTCTTTTTTTTTACATTATAAGAAATTAATTTATATTAACAACACATTTTCCCACATCCTCTTGGGGGTAAATACAGATTTATATATAAAAATATCAGATAGTTAAGGGTTTTCAATTTAAATTTTGGGTAATTCGGATTGTTTAGATAAAAATATCTGATAATTTGGATGATTTTTAATATTTTAAATAAAAAATATTCAAGTAATTCAATTTTTGGGTAATTTAAGTTTTTGAGTAATTTGGTTTATAAATAGTATTTTTTAGGATATTTATTTATTCATAAATTAAATATAAAAATAATATTTTTAAGGACACAAATTTATTTTATAATTTTAGATACCCATTTGGTTTTCGGTTATTTATGAAATTGAGTTCAATTTTAGTTTCATTTTTGTGTATTTAGTTTAGTAAGTTTTGGTTCACGGGTCCGGATACATGTCAAATTTTTTATAATATCTTACATAAGCATTCATTTAAAGTAATTTATTTAATTGTAAAAATAACCCGCGCTTTCTAAGCGCGGGTCAAAATCTAGTAGGAGTGTTAATTAGTGATATGAATCATATTGACTCTTTTGATGATGTAAAGCAAGAGAAAGAATAACCGATGAACATCTAAACTGGAATAGGTGTATTAATTAGTGATATGAATCATATTGATTCTTTTGATGATGTAAAGCAAGAGAAAGAATAAGTTAGTTGAATAGTTTAGCAGTGATAATAGTGGTGATGCTGTAAGGAAGAGAAAACCGATTATTCCGGTTCGTTTTGGGCTGGTTTTATAATCAAATGGTTTAGTATTGCATTGTGAGTTTATGGTTTAGTCAGGTTATAGGTCTCGATAAAACTACACAAAACGTCATCTAAATTGGAATAGGAGTATTAATTAGTGATATGAATCATATTGACTCTTTTGATGATGTAAAGCAAGAGATAGAATAAGTTAGTTGAATAGTTTAGCAGTGATTATAGTGGTGATGCTGTAAAGGAAGAGAAAACCGATTATTCCGGTTCGTTTTGGGCTGGTTTTATAATCAAATGGTTTAGTATTGCATTGTGAGTTTATGGTTTAGTCACGTTATAGGTCTCGAGAAAACTACACAAAACGCAGACGTTTTTTCTGTTTTAAAAGATTGGCAAAACTACTGTGTTTTATATCCAGTGGCATTGTAATGTAATATTTGTGCAAACTTAAGGGGTATTATCTATTTGTACTTCTCCTTTAATAGTTTAGATGAAGCCTTTCCCTACATTTTATATGTCATGACCGGTAGATGAAAATTTCTGTTTTTATATGTTCTTTGTCAAATTGCTTTTGGACGATGCAAATACAATTTGTTTTCCCCAAAAAATCATGAAAAATATGCTTGTTTTTTTTCTAAAAAAAAACATAATGTTATTTTAAAATTTAAATTTATTTATACCCAATAATCTTAATCTCTTGTTTATATTTTTTTTTGTTAAAAATATAAAGATACTATTACCAGATTTTAATATTTTTGACAGAATACAAAGGTTTACCAGAAGAGGTTTAAACAGAAACATAAATTCTAACAGAAACTCACCTATTAGTTAAGTTATTCACGATTATATCCAAAATTTCCTAAAACATGCAGAAAAGTCTTCTCAATTTAGTCTCAAACTTCCTTTTGTACACGGTAGATCCTATCAAATGCAAAAAAGCAAATATATACATCCAAAATCTCTAAATGCATCCTAAAATTATAATATGAAAAACTGAAAACAAATCTATTATATTGAAATAGAAGACACAACTCCACTTCATGTGTGATTTTTTTTAAATTGGACCATCTTAGAATTTTTATTAAATTTGACGTAACATAGCTATAATATATCTTTTTATATCTTTGATTTTTATTTGAAATATAACTAAATATTTGAAAGAAGATCTTAACAAAACTTTTTAAAATATTTTAGAATCTTTTTTAATATATTTCCAGAAATTAGTTAATTAAATTTTTAATTATCATCAAATATAATTAAAAGTCTACTTCATTTTTAATTTATAAAAAAAAAATTCTGTAAAATGCTTTTATACAGCATTCAAAAAATTTCTTCACTATTATATAGGTTCAACTTAATTTAGTTTTCCCATATATTTAATTATAGAAATAAAACAAAACATTATGTAAGTTCAAAATTATTAATTTATAAATATAGTAATAATATTATAAGTCATACAAACATCATTATAAAGTTAAAAATATATAAAATCAAATTATATTAAATCAAACTATATTAATTTATTAGTAAATTTTATTGTATAATACAAAACATTTTAGTATTCAAAAACCCGCACGGTTGTGCGGGTCAAAACCTAATATTAAATTTATTTTTATACAAAATAATACTTTTTTAAAAGAAATTTAGTTAAAATTATTTATTTACATTAAATTTCTTTTTCCAGTTCAGACTATTTACTAGTCTTTATCTTATCCACGATTTTTTATGTTCACACTTACTCAATTCACAAGAAAACTTAGATGGATAGTCTAACTCCATTTACCTAGTCTTGCATTCTAAATTCTTTACTTTAACTAGTTTAGAACTTTAGAGGTTCAACCTAATTTACATATACCCAACTTTTTCATCCACATTTTGTTCGATAGATAAAATTCATTTTGTATATTCATGTCTACAAAACACATATCCAATAAATTTTAGTTTAAAATATTCAATAAAATATTAAGTTATAAAGAATATGTATATATAGATATAAAAAAAATCATTTTTATACAAAATCTTTATCCATATTTTCTGTCCACGATGTACCCGGCTGCGACCTTAAGCAAGAGGGGGGGGGGGAACATATCTGTCAGTTTCTTTCTCTATACCACATTAATAAAATTTATGAGATTCAAGAAACTACAATCACCTTCACTGTGTTTGCAGATGGATAGACCATTGATTCCCCGTACATGGCGGCTGCAGAAGCACCTGAGCTTGCTTGAAGCCTGGCGTGATGCCTGCTCAAACTATCATTGGAACCGCCGGTAGAAGAACGTGTCTCAAAAGCTGTAGTAGATGTGCCATTCTCAGGAGGTACAACAAGTGCCCTGCAAGTAGGACATGTCTGCTGTCTTTCCAACCATGATCGAAGACAATGCACATGGAAGAGATGTCCACATGTCAGCTTCTTTGCAGTTGTCATTTCTTCACGGCATATGATACATGTGGCATCACTTCTGCATATTAGAAGGGAATAATATAAGATTTTTGCCTAGTTTAAGCGGAAAACACAAATAGAATATATCAAAACTTACGCAGTAAGTTCTTCAGGGGTTGCATCAGGGAACCTATCGTTCATATTGGAAGTGATTTTACGGTAACGAAGGTAATCAGAAACACGAATCTGGAAGTTCCTGAAGGTTTCATAGAGCTCCCTCAACAAGTGCAAAGGCACACCATAGTTCCTAATCAAATATGGCCATGAATGAGTCAAGAAACATACATTTGATTCTGCTCACTAATCGTCTCAAGTCAAGATGGACGGCATTTTGATACGCAAAAGAATACATTTCTGTGGCTGAAACTGAATCAATAAAAAGATAATCTAAATTTCAATTAAATTACAAAATGAACGCTTACTGCTTGTTGCATGTTACAAGGCCAAACACTGTAGAATTTGGAAATATCCAAGGGACTCAGATATATCAGAGTGTTAAAAGATACAGAGAAGCTTCAAGAATCCCTGGTTTCTTGATTCTTGCTGTTGAATCTCCAATATACTTTGCCAATAGCACTTATCTACAAGAAAGGTCAGTGTCAAGTAACTTTCTTCTTGATATGGTTGTGTGTGTTTTGTTCTTACGGAAGTGAGTTTATGGTTCTGTAGGATCTTGAGATGGACCAGGGAAGAGGAAACTCGGATAAAAGAAAACAGTGGTACTACTTTAAAATGCATCATTCTTGACATGACAGGTAACTACTTCTGTTCTCATCTGAGCCATGTTCTCAAGTAGAAAGTGTCCCTCAATGTAATGGAAAGACAAAAAGTGGCCTATAGAGTAACAAACTCAACATTGAACTTCTTGTTGCAAACATCTTATGAACCTTCTTGTTTCTTTTTCGTCGTAATCTAAACCGCAAACATTGAACTTTGTATCTCCAAAACTCTATCCATTTAACCAATTACAACGTTTTACCTATTTTATGATATCCCGCCTAATTAATTAATAGATTATATTTTAAAAGTGGAAAAAAGAACATATTCCATTTGTTCTTCAGTGCAATGTTGAGTAACTATATAACTTTCCTTCCATTTTTATAGCTAAAAATAATCGATTGCCAAAAAAAAGTGGAACAAGTAAAAAGAGTCTGACCTGTAAATATGCCAACCCAATGATTAAAAGAAAACACACAGTTTAGGTTTCAGTTTCAACTCAAGCGTCTTAATTCTACGACAGTGTACATCTTTTTTGTTCTGTAGCAGAACCACAATGCCTCCTTAACTCCTTTCTCTATCTCAGTTCTAGACATGAGTTTTTGTTTCTTTTTTCCTTTCTACATTTTTAAGCATCAACAACCGTCTTTCCTTTGTTATCTGCTTCCCCTGTGGATTCCACTTTCCTCTTCTCCAGAAAATGAAGTCTGTTTCGCAAATTCTACAACCACAATGTTGTTGATACTTTACTATAAGATTTATACTAGATTCCGGTGTTTAACATAAGCTAGGGATCAATACCTCGAGCTGGGTCTCTAAAGAGTTCTTCATATTTTCCAGCTTAGCCTCTGGGATATTTGCATAGACACGAGAGTTTTCACTAGCAAGCTCACATGGGGCAGAGGATGATGATGAAGGATGATGTGCCGCTTCTGTTGGAGCTTTCTCTGTGCCCAGCTGCGACCTTAAGCAAGGGGGGCCAACATATCTGTCAGTGTTTTTCTCTATACCACATTGGACGGCGTTAATAAAAGAATAGCATTTAGCTTCTTCAGTTATAAGTTTATGAGATTCAAGAAACTAAAATCACCTTTACAAGCATAGAGTGAGAGAACTGAGAAGATCCAATACATACCATGCTACTGTGTTTGCAGATGGATAAACCATTGATTTCCCGTACATGGCTGCTGCAGAAGCAGCTGCTTGAAGCCTGGCGTGGTGCCTGCTCAAACTATCATTGGAACCCCCGGCAGAAGAACGTGTCTCAGATCCCTGAGCACCTGAGCTTGAAATACCTTGTTGAGGACCTTGGCGTAATCCTCGTTGCCCTGCAGCTGTAGTAGATGTGCCATTCTCAGGAGGTACAACGAGTGCCCTGCAAGTAGGACATGTCTGCTGTCTTTCCAACCAGGATCGAAGACAATGCACATGGAAGAGATGCCCACATATAAGCTTCTTCGCAGTTGTCATTTCTTCACGGCATATGATACATGTGGCATCACTTCTGCATATAAGAAGGGAATAATATAAGAGTTTTGCCTAGTTTAAACGGAAAACATAAATGGAATCTATCAAAAACTTACGCAGTAAGCTCTTCGGGAGTTGCATCAGGGAACCTATCGTTCATATTGGAAGTGATTTTACGATAACGAAGGTAATCAGAAACACGAATCTGGAAGTTCCTGAAGGTTTCATAGAGCTCCCTCAACAAGTGCAAAGGCACACCATAGTTCCTAATCAAACATAGCCATGAATGAGTCAAGAAACAAAAAAAAAAGATTCTTCTCCCAAGTCTCTTCATCACTAACGTTCCAACCAGTACATGCCTTTGATTCTGTTTACTAATCATCATAGCTCAAACAATTAAAAAAAGTTGGAAGGAGAAAAAAACTTACATGAAAATGACAAAGAAGAAGCAAATGTACATAGACAAGTGAAGCAAGTCACGAATAAGCTCAAGATAGAAAGTATAAACCGGCTTCTTCTCCCATTGACCATCCATAATCATATCCGTAACAAAAAACACATACTTCACAAAAATCGCCACAGTAGTCGTCGCCAAAATCATATACCTGTAAGATCACCACACATCACACAGTTACAGAGAGTAGCACACAAACAAACACTATAATAATAACATATAACAAAGAAACTTACTCAAAAGAGAAGAATAGAGAAACCGAAGCCTGCCTAGACCTTATCAAATCCTTCACAGAGCTATACATAAACAAACAATCCACAACCAACAGAAACCCCAAAAACGAAACAATACGAACATGAGCGAGCTTAGTCACACTAGGAGTCGTCTCAATAAACTCAACTCTCTTCTGAGCAAGCCAATGCAAGGCCTTGATCAGCAAAAGCGTAACAACCAGAGGAAGGAATCCGCTGGAGAAGTCTTGACGGAAGATGGTGATGGCGAAGAGAATCTCCATGAGCTCTCTCCAGGCCTGTTCGTTGAGGCGCTCGATCTCGGCTTCGCGGAGGGAGCCGAGGAAGAGGAGTTTGACGAGGTGCCAGAGGGTGAGCATGAGGAGGAGGCACATGTTGAGGAGGAGCATTAGGCTGATTTTGGATGTGGAGAGGTAGACGGTTGCGGGGTAGAATTGGCCTCGGGTTGTGAAGGCGTGGTGGATTATTGTTAGGGTTGAGAGTATGCTGAGGCATGCGTAGGTTCTTAATCGGATCATCTTGAGATCTGTGAGAGAGAGGTTAGAGATTAAAATTAAACGATCTGATCACGAAATTGAGAGCGAATTTAGAAACTAATCATCACCTGCGGGAGAAATTGGGGGAAGTCAAGGAATCAAATTCTCTGTGACGACGGAAAGCTATAGAAGCGGAGGAGGGAGGAGGTGACGTGAGGAGGCGTTGCGGTGTCTGTTAGGATTTTCCGATTACGAGGAATACGTTTTTTTTTTTTTTTTTAAGTTTCTCCGCTCATTTTGTAGAATCCCTATTTTACCCCTCTCGGGACATGTTTGAGAGTTTCGATGTTGTTGGTTGAATTGAATTTGATTTTTTTTTTTCATGAAAATGTTAGTTTATGATTCAAATGTTGGATACATTAAACTCGAAAGGTTTTTCTTGGAAACATTAGTTTATGATTCAAATGTTGGATACATTAAACTCAAAAGGTTTTGAAAATGTTTGATTGAGTTTACTGTTTACATGGTAATCAATCAAAACCAGAACTTGGATGTATCAAAGGTTTTGTATATGTTACCAGAATCAAAGGTTTTGTATATGTTTGATTAAGTTCATTATCTGTAAAAGAATATTTCAACGAAAGTTTCAAAACTTTATAAAGCAAATGACACAATAGAACAAAACATATTGTTTTCACATACTAATGAACTAGATATAATTTAACAAAACATATTGTAATCACATACTAATGAACTAGGTATCGTTGGTCTCTTTTTCTTAGGCTGATGAAGCTGTTGCTGCCTTGTTCCTTGGCTTGGCTTCAGTACCTAATGTTAACCAAGGAAATGGGCAATTAGAAACACCATTTTTGACAATCATAATTGTTAAAACCAATCAAGATAAACGTTACCTTCTCTGAAACCAGTCTTGAACCGGCGGGACATTTTTGAGATATCTCATCCTACCGGTTCCTGTAGTCTTCCTGCTGATCGCCTTCACACTCCAGTTGTCTATAATACCAAAAGAAAGACAGTTTAATAAAGATAGGGAAAAGAAAGACACAAATGCTCACACATTTTCGATATTTGCATTCAAATGATTATTACAACTACCCAACAAATCGATTAAACAAACTAGACATAACGAGAACATACAAAGTTACATTCCATGCGATGATTACACGCATGTAATAACCAAACAAGTCAAACGAGTTCTACACAACACATATTATACGATAATCTTGTTCAATTTCCTCATTAAAAGTACTACGGTTAAAGTTTTCTTAGATCCAACCAAACTAAACCGAAACCAAATTTAAACCAAAACACACACTCTTATATGAATTTAAAGTTAGAATGAGAAATTGTGTGTATTTCTAGAGCATTCTCTTCAATGAGGATGCTTAAAACAATATTTCAAGGAGCTAATATTAGTATAGTATTATAATTTAATTACATAATTAAATTTAGTTTTTTTTACCTTCGACCTTTCATAAATGGATACTTCTTAGAAAGAATCTCAAAGATTTTTTAAAAAGAATCTTAAATGAGAAGTGACTATTCATCTTCTCTTGTTTTATTTTTATTTTTATTTTTATTTTTATCCATGAGTACTTTTAGAAAATCATTGAACATGTTCTTATATTTAAGAAAATGAAATATGCAAATATCAACTCGAAATTAAAAAAAAATATATATATCTAAATTTATTACTTTAACATGTAAATCTAATGTCATTAGCAAAATATTAAATTCTTAATATAGTATGTTTAAATTCAAATAATCATGATCTTATTATTTAGGTATGATAATGCGCAATAGATTTGGTTAAATTGATAGAATTTGGTCATATAGATTAAACAATTTTTTGAGAGACTAGAGCTCGACTGACAACTTTTGCCATTTTCTAATAAATTTGAAATAGAGAATCTACAATAATAATAAATACCAGAATAGTTTCAGCTAGGCTATCATGAGCTATATACCATCTATTGTGTTTGTCAATGTATAAAAGTGATGAGTTATCTCATTTACTCCACTTGGTTGAGTCTGATGACATGTTGAAATTAATTTAAAATATTTATTTTGTATATATATGTATTGTTTTGCTAATCACATAACTTTTAGAATTACAAACTATTGATTTCTTAAAAGAAAATTATCATGGAAACTTGTATAAAATTAAAAATGAAATTACTCCAAAAAGGTTAATATAAATCATTAAGAAAAAATAAAATAAAAAAATTGTAATGTATTACTTACTCGTGATCAGGTTTGTACAATTTTTTCTCACAGATTATTTTCATACTTATAATCCTGGAATCCAGAGTTAGAACGTGGTTTCTATAATACAACATGGATTTTCTAAAGTTCTATTATGGCTTACAGTTAATTGAATGGAAGTCAATAAGAATACTATAGAGATATATAGCCCTTTTTATATGGTTGAGAGGAAACATGATTTACATGCAATTTGAAGGTATTATGCACATCAAATACATAGATAATCATCCTGCAGATTGTATGCCATTGATAAATCTTGGAAAAACTTTCAATAAAACTATACAACCTTGAAACCTATATACTCTAGCAACTTTTGAATTGTAACTATCATAGAAGAGCTTCTTTTCATCATTAACAGAACCAGTCGGTTCATAAAGCCTTAGCTGTTTGCATAGGATCTGGTCAGTTTTAAACCCCAATTTAAGCAAGCTGACATGAATCTCTTGTGGATTTATGTGATAACCTTGATTCTCAGCCAGATTGATATTCTAATTGAGGAAATATACCAGAAACTCCAAGAATTACTAAGACATAAAAGTGGAAGTATCCGAGATGCAATGCATCATATATCATGGAAATAAGATTAGTGGCGTATTTTTTTAATTTTATATATTATATTGCAATCATCAAGATAACCTATCATTCTATAAGTATCAAATATTTTCCACAATAAGCAAAGGAGTCTCTGTAAGACTAACATAATCTAAGTCAAAATCAAATCAAGAATGAAAGCAGATTCGGATCTCAAAGATTATTATCATCATCAGAACCAAGTTCAAAATAAATATTTCTTAATATTATATATTATATTGCAATCATGGAGATAACCTTCATTCCATAAGTATCAAATATTGTCCACAATAACCAGAGGAGTCTACGTACGACTAACATAAATACGCCTAAGCCAAGATCAAACCAAAATCATATAAAATGAAAGCAGATTTGAGATTAGTATCATTATAACGAAGTGCAAAATAAATCTTTCTTAATATTATATATTATATAAATTGCAATCACTGAGATAACATGTCATTCCATAAGTATCAAATATTCTCCACAATAAGCAAAGGAGTCTCTATAGTAACATATTCATATTCATATTTTAGTTATTTTTTCTATATAATATGCAAAAGTATTAAAATTAATGTAATTCTCATATTTGTTTTAGTATTGTAAACAATAAAGTAAAAAAAACAGACAAAAAAAATTTAGTAGATATTATAAATAAAAATTTGTTTTCTTAATATTTGATTAATTTTTGCTTATTTTTTGCAGCAATTGTCTGATTTTAGTTTGTTACATAAGACATGGTAAATGACCATGTTGGTTTCTGTTGCATCGGCATGGGAGGAGCAAACAACAAAAACATATGTAAATTGGAAGCATATATGCAACGTGAACAAGCAAAAAAAAAACACAACAAGATTGTGAACAAGTGGAAGAATTTCCAGTTCCTGAAGTAACGTTTAATTTATGATTATATTTTGTCCATTTACTTTGTTATTTCTTTCTACATATCAATTCTACCAAAATCTTTTGTTATTGTGCTAAATGGAGGTGGTAGTATATTATCAACTTAAGTTGGACTCCACTTCAGTTGGACTCCTACAAAAAACCGGCTTCGACATATAATTATAACACAAACAGATAATTATAGCACAAACAGAAGGTATCAATATTTATATTTATTTCTACCAAAAGGTATATCAAAACCAGTGTTTTAAACCCATGAATCGTAAACATTTCCAGGTTAAATAAAAACTGGGGAGGGGGGGGGTTCAACTGATAAAAACCGTGTTTGTTTATATATAATCTATTAAAACAAAAGTACAAATATAAACAAACCATTAAACTTGCACAATATTTAAAATCCAGTGTTACTGAGAATTAAATAAATCTAAATTTAATTAATCATTGTCTATTCCTATTTATTGCTAAATCAAATTTACCTAAATTTTTGTGATTAACATATTTCCTAAAATAATTTAGCTAAATTTTAGGAAAAATTCAAATTTAAAACGTTTTTAATAATATAATAGAATATTTCCCAAGTATCATATAAACTCCCTACATTTAGGTTGTAAGGTTTAAATTATATGTATTTTAAAAATTTTAAAATACATGTTTAACCATTACAATTAATTATTTTAAATAATAAAATCTATCAACGCTAAGGTTTAATTATTCTTGAATTACTTGTAGAATAATATGGATTGTTTATAATCGAATATTCTTTTAATCTATATAAATGTTTCCTAAATATATATATATATATATATATATTGATTAATTATGGATTATCCCCAACATTTTCCAACTGTGTATATATTTTATTTATGGATTAGACTGATTTTAGTAATGTCTTTAGCCTTCTAGAGTTTGATATAATTGGGGAATCATTTGTTTCTTTAAAATCGTTCCTTTTGTTAGGTGATTAAGGTTTGACTTTGGTGTTTAACGATTTGATCCACGACTACTTTTTCTTGTTGTTAGTAAAACTATTTTCCTCCTCACATAGTTAATCTTTTTATTTTTTACATATGGATTTTCTTTAATGTTGCTTTGTTTGTCTTCTTCCAATTACAAGGAGGAGGTTCTGGATCTATTCCATAAGACCTTGTTCACAAAATATTGTCCACATAATCTAGTCCACTGTATACTCAAGCTTCATCCTCAAAACCCGTCCACAAAATCTTGCACACGAAACGTTTTGTAAGATTAAAAATATTATAGGCACTTTTTTTATTTAAATAAACAAATAAGCAGATAGTTACATGTTGTGTAAACAAGTTCGGTTGCATGTTATCTTTTAACCATCTATATTCAACATGTTTGGCCATTCACAAGTAGATCACACAGTGAATGAGACTTTTAATATTGTTGAAAGTAAGACAAGAAAGAAAGGACAGAGGACAATGGTGGTTGGTCTGGTTGGGATGATGATAACGATGCTAAAGATGTGGATAGTATGTGTAATAATATCTCCA